GGGCCGGGCGGCGCTGCTGAACTGGGCCCCGGTCCGGATGGGCCTGGGCCCCCTTTCCCTGGCGGGTTGCGGAGTATGGGGGTGCTTACTGGGGTCAGTGGGGGAGCTGGCCCCAGGGAGGGCAGGCGCCTCAAACAGGCGCCTCAGTAGCACATGGAAAAACCACACGGCCACAGCAACCTGGTATCCCATTATTCAACCAGCATTTGTCACAAGTCAGCCAGTGTGGTGTTGTTGGTCACTCTGTATGAACAGCAAGCACACCCAGGCTGATCCTACAAGTTTTAAATGGGGTTGAGGTCATGTCTGCAGGCAGGCCATTCCATCCTTTCCACTCCCAAATTCTGGTAGTAGTCTCTAATAAAACTTGCTCTGCTTGGTTGAACGCTGTCATTGTGGAAGATGGAGTTTGATTCCAGACTGTGGTGCCATAGGATTGCCACGTATTCCAAAATCTCATCTCGATAGCTCTCTGCATTGAGATAGTTTCCAGTGATGACAAGCCTAGTCTTTCCAGACAATCCCACTGCTTGCACCACTAGCTGTTACCCTGTTCGTTTATTTGTCATATATAAGTAACAATGGCACATGAGTGAAATTCTTAGGCTCTGAGCTGCTTCAATGTTGCATGCAGAAAAACCTATATGCCCTGTGTGAAAAAATGATTGCCCCCTAAACCTAATAACTTGTTGGGCCACTCTTAGAACAAACAACTCCAATCAAGCATTTGCGATAAACTGACGGGTTTTTTAAGCATGAAGGTCATACTACAGCATCTCAATCAGACTCAGGTCAGGACTTTGACAAGGACACTCCAAAGTGTTCATTTTGTTTTTCTTAAGCTATTTAGAGGTAGTGTGTTGGTGTGTTGTGGTTCGTTTCCTGCTGCAGAACCCACTTGCACTTCAGGTTGAACATTTTGGAACACCTAAATTCAATGATTTGGGTGGGTGAGTGAATACTTTTGGCAATTAGTGTAATAATAAAACGACTTCATATAGCAAAAGGCAACTAGTGACAATTTCTGAATGGTGTATAGTCATATTTCACTATAATACAAAATAAAGCATGTAGAACATTTTACTACAAGCACTTTATAATCACAAAAATGAAGAAAATGCTATTTCCATTCAAATGCTGGAGTTTTTAGGTGGCATTCTAATTATAACTTAGAAAATAATAAAATCAACTTTCTTGTTGTTTTTCTCTAGTGTCTCCAGCAAAATATGGTTTGAATTCTACACTATATAATGCAAAACTACTATCAAACGTCTGGCTCACAAGGCATCCAGAAAAAAAGAAGCAAATGATAATTTATTATGTGTACATATTAACCATACAACATAACAAAGTTAAGAGTTTCTTAAAGAAGGGCTTTTACCCTCGGACCTTGATTTCTGTCCTGCTATCTTGCCTTACGCCTATGTTTTTCTTTGAAATTAAATGATGAGAAACTTTAAAGTCAAGCTCACAATTAACCAGCAGAGTAAGATTTCATATGTTTCAGTCTAAACAATCTATGAAATTTTAGAGTTTACCGTGCAGGGAAGTCAGTCATGAAGAGTTCTGGGACCAGCTCTTGAAGAGGAACTGGCTGATCGGGATGCAGAGGACACACGATGTGTTCCTTCTCCACTGCAGCCAGTACGCAGTCCTCCATGTTAAAATAATAGACCCCTGCTTCTCTTCCTTTGTCGTCTTCACATTTTACACCATCTCCATCCTTGCTGTGTTCATTGGCTGGGAACTCAACCTGATTCTTTTGGCCCAGGGAGGCACAGAGAGAACAAGGGGCATACTGCTCTACAAGAAGACTCCCATCACTTTCACTGCCAGTCAAAGCTAGAAGAAAGTAAAAAAAAAGTATGTTCACTTTATGTACAGATGTAGCAGAGGGCTGAAAATCAGAGTTGATGTACAACACAGAGTACTGAAAGCACTTTCATCCATTCACACATGGATTCACAAAACACTTTTACTCTTTAAGGGGCTGCACTGACACAAGTAATTTGAATAATTCGATTACAAAAAATTCTTGAGACAAGGCTCTGTAGCACACCGATGTGTTAAACCATGCAGATGCGAGCCTTTCATCTTCATTTGCGATAACGTATTACGTACATATGTACAAACGTATTCAGGATCAGTCTATGAATGAAAAGTTTGACAACATGAAGCCCACGCAGTTCCCAGTTTGAAAGAAAAAAAAAAAAACACAGCAGAACCAGTGACAATCAGCATGGCACACACAGTTTGACGAGGAGCTGGAGTCTGCGGCACAAACACTCTGTTCTGACAAAGAGCAAAGAGGCGAACCTGTTACTGAGATGGTGAGCTCCCGTTGAGATAAAGAAAACATGTTTCAAGCATCCAAAAAAGCAACGCTGTTCTTGTGCTCACCACTAAAAACGTTACAGGGAAAAAGCGAGCGTTACTCATTCACTGACGTGAAGAAAGCAAACTTTGTAGCTGCTCCATCATCGCTGCTTGTTTTACATAGTGAAAGGTCTGCCGTAAGCCTCCAGAAGTTGGATTAAAACATGCAGATGAACTGTTAAATTAATCTGATACCATGTTCAAAGTCCGAGGGATGAGGGGAATGACCCGCCAATTTCCGGGGGCGAGGTCACTGAGGCAGTTAAACAACTCCTTGGTGGCAGAGCCCCTGGTGTCGGGGGCAGCAGCCTAAGCAAAGAGGTCCAGACCTCCCTCTCCCCAGCCACCTCCTCCAGCTTATCCGGGGGAATACCAAGGCGTTCCCAGGCCAGCCGAGAGATATAATCTCTCCAGCGTGTCCTGGGTCTGCCCCGGGGCCTCCTCCCGGTGGGACATGCCTGGAACACCTCACCCAGGAGGCGCCCAGGGGGCATCCTTGTCAGATGCCCGAACCACCTCAGCTGGCTCCTTTCGATGTGGAGCAGCAGCTGCTCTACTCTGAGCCCCTCCCGGATGGCCGAACTTCTCACCCTATCTCTAAGGGAGAGGCCAGCCACCCTTCGGAGGAAGCTCATTTCTGCCGCTTGTATCCGCGATCTCGTTCTTTCGGTCACTACCCACAGCTCGTGGCCATAGGTGAGGGTAGGGACGTAGATCGACCGGTAAATTGAGAGCTTCGCTTTTACACTCAGCTCCCTCTTCACCACGACGGACCGGTGCAGCGTCTGCATTACTGCAGCTGCAGCCCCAATCCGTCTGTCGATCTCCGGCTCCCTTCTCCCATCACTCGCGAACAAGACCCCGAGATACTTGAACTCCTCCACTTGGGGCAGGAACTCATCCCCGACCCGGAGTGGGCACTCCACCCTTTTCCGGCTGAGAACCATGGCCTCAGATTTGGAGGTGCTGATCCTCATTCCCGCTGCTTCACACTCGGCTGCGAACCGTTCCAGTGCGAGCTGGAGGCCCTCACCCGATGAAGCCAACAGAACCACATCATCTGCAAAAATCAGAGATGAGATTCTGAGGCCACCAAAGCGAAAGCCCTCCGCCACTTGGCTGCGCCTATTT